TGGAGCAACCTGTCGGACGTCGTGACCTTTCGGAGGTGGAGGAAAGTTGGCTCCTGCGAAGAGTGGAGGAGACGGCGAAGAAGATGAACGTGCGGAGGCTCTTCCTCTGCCTTGTCGCCGTCGTTTTTTTCGCCGGGATGGTGACAGCCTTGGTGAAGACGGTTCGAGGAGGCCGCAATCACAAACAACCGTCGCTGTAATTTGTGATAATTTATCATAATTATTAAATATATAGTTAACTATGTTGTTCAATATAATTAACACTTTAATAGAATAATTTTATCAAGAAAATATAGTTAAGAATTTTGCTCAATATATTCAACAGTATTGCTCAACAAAATCAACAATATTGCTCAATATATTCAACAAATATATAGTTAACTATGTTTGTTGGTCAGATTTAGAAACAAATGTTGACAATATTACTGACTAATAACAATATAGTCAATCATAAAACAATCATTGTAACTTGGGAGCCAAAAAATAGTATTATCGCTTTCAAAATGTGGTCAAAGTTACGTAGAAGGTAAAAATATTTTGATTATTAGCAAAACATTTTAGGGATAAGAAATAGTCGCAGAGAAAAGTTGTTACATTGTTTGTTTGATGTCATGTTGTTTGAACAATTTAACAATTATAGAAAAAAAAATGTTGAAACATATGGAAGAATAAGAAAAAATCTTATCATATATGCAAACCTATAACACAATAAGAAACAGGAGCTGTCGCTTGTTTTGTTTAGAATAAAACACGTTATGAACATTTAACTATCATAAAAAAGGTTTTCGTCTTACTTACAATTATAAATATGTGTAATGACTGTTACCCTCTCAATGGTGAAAAACTCTTTGAATGAATGTATATAAGTTGGTAAACATATTTTTGAATTCATTTTGATATTTTTTTAAGAGTTTACTAAACTTTGATCATTACGTTTCCCTGCCATTTTTTTTTAGCGAAATTGGTGTTTACTTATACACATCAATCTAGCGATATAGTCCGTCGGTTTAGGCCATACAAATCCACTGAGCTTTGGAATCAAAACTTTGGCATATTTGGTTCATATTGGCTCTTGTCACTCTTTTTTTTAGCTTTCACTTATTTATTCCCTTTGCTAGTTGTTGTTTCTTCTTTATTCGACTCTACTTTACTTTTGAGTGAATTTGGTGAGTGGCTTGATGATTTAATAAAGAAAATAGCAAAGAGAATATAGGGCAGGGGAAACAACAAAAGAGTACCGGATTAAATGCATGTGCATTTACAGCGGGACTCGTTTTTTTGTTGTGCGCGTGGGATTGAGACAAAGCGGTAATGGAATGACAGCATGACGAGTGAAAGCGTAGATATAAATTTTTGGGAGATGTCCCCTCGTGATCATTACCCTCAACGAGGGTGGTGCAAGAAATTACAAATAAAAATAACACGTTACATTAAAAAGTAACAGTACATATACATTCCTTAGGCCGCTACATTACATCTTAACATTCCAAATGCAAACATCGCAAACTATGATCTACCTTAAATTTCTTCTTCGTACTACACCGTATAACTTAGAC